TTTTAGTTAGCATTATACTATGAGATTGATCCATGCTGGTACAGTGTTATAGTTCATTGTCATTATCACTGCATTATATAGCTGCCACAGTCTGTCTTATCTTTTTCTATTTATGAAGATTTGAGTAGTCTCTAATTTTTTGCTATTAGTTTCATTTTTCAGTACTCTTCATTCTCATATATCTTGGTGAACATGTGGCTGCCTTCTCTTGGGTACAAACCTATGTCAAAGAATATGCTGTGTTCTGCTTAAGAGATGTCAAACAGCTTTGCACTGTGGTTGTGCACACTCCATTCTCCTGACATTGTTTATGGATTGTAGCTCTGCAGCTCCTCACCAGCACTTGTCTTTTCTTCTCAACTGGCTTTTTTGATGCATCTGTGTTTGTTAGATTGTGGGTCTTATTTGAATTTCTCTGATACCTAATGAAACTGGCACCTCTGTTTGATTGTTTAAGCAAGGTTTCTCCATGCAACCCAGATAGCCTCGAATTCCTGGTCATCTTCTTGCCTTAGCCTCCCTAGTGCTGGGATTACAGGCATGTGTCATGCCCAGCAAGGTATCACTTTTTCATATGTCACTAAACATATGGATCTGCTCTTTGGTAAAGTACTTCTCTGAGTAGTTTTCTGTTTTTCATGTTTTAACTTATATTTCTTTGTATATTCTGGATATGAGTACTACTTTATCAGATACATGTACTGAAATTCTCTTCTCCCTATCCCCACTACCTCCTAGTGTTGGAAATCAGTCTTAGGGCTTTGCATATGCCAAGCATATGAGGTACCACAACCTCATCCCAGAACTAGCTTAAATTCTCTTTTGATAAACATTTTCAAAACAAAAAATTAAGTAGTTTGAAAATGACCAGATGTTTAGGACGCCTTAAAATTCTTTGTGAATTTACTTGTCTTCTTTAATTACAATGGAATAATCATGGCATGAATGTTATATTCTTTGAAAAGGCATATTGGGCATATTTCCCCATAATATGTGTATGTGTCTGTGTGTGTGTGTGTATGTGTGTGTGTGTGTGTGTGTGTGTGTGTGTGTGTGTGTGTGTGTGTGTTTATAACTTCATTATTTGTAATTGCCAAAAGTGGAAGCAACCCAATGTCTGTCCCTGGTGAGTATCTAAAGTATGATGAATCAATATGGTGGAATATTATTCAGCACTAGAAAGGGACAAAGTGCTATGGTTATGATCACACAACTCTGAATATACTAGAAACCATTTAAGTTTACACTTCACATGAGTAAAATATATGAATTATATTTTAACAACACTGAAAACTCTCAGGTTTTTACATTTCTGCTCAAAAATTATTTGTGTCAATCAGTTGCAAACACTTTAATTTGAAAAGGACCAAGTTCATCAGCTGTCATAGACAAAGGTTGATTGCTTTGAGATGGAAAAGGTCCATAAGAGTGAAAATAATCTCAACTCTAAAAGCAATTTTAAGTAGAATTTTGTTCATATCCATAGCTGAGAGTCCTTCAGTTCTGACAATAGTGTTCCTGCTACATGCCACACAGTTTTGCATAAAACATGACCCTCTGCCCTCCAAGAGATTCCAGTTGAGCAGTAAGACAACTGATGGAGTATCAATCATAAAATAAAGAGGTACACAAGGATCAGTGGAGTACAGAGGAATTGCATATACAAGAGGAGGCAGAGAAGTGATCTCAGAGGAATCTATTAAAGGCCAAAAAGAGATCTCTAAATGAGAATTGGAGAATTCTCAGAGGTATGCCATGCACAGTTAAGGCCTGAAGTAACATGACTCATTTAGGAAATTATGAGAATTTGAATGGCTCAATTGAAAGAATACTTGTTGAGAAAATGGTAGGAAGCACTAAAAAGCAAGAACTGGACTGAAAAGCTTCTCTTTTAAGCTAAATATAACTCTAAAGGCCAGTTATGACTCCCTCCTCCTCCCCCCACCCACGCTTGCAAGATAGGCTTTTATGTCTTCAGGAGACCAGTAGGGCGAAAGAAGAATAGCCCTATAGTCCTCTGTTTGAAAATGCAATTTGTAGTGAGATGGCCATGGTGAAATGCTACCCATGAAAGGATGAGGTCAGGAGTGCTCGTCCCTCCTTTTAGTCACTCTCAGTCATCAGTGGAACACTGTCAGAACCTTTGGGGCTCGGGTACCACTGTGTATCCAGTGCTCGCCTGGTATGCAAGAGACCTTGGATTTGATCCTCGGCATTGTATAAAACTGAATATGGTGGCACATGCCTCTAACCCGAGAGGTAGATACAGGAGGATCATGAAGTTCAAGGTCATTCTCAAGTACATAGTGGGTTTGAGGCCAGCCTGGACTACATGAGATCCCATCTCAAAACAGAAAAGAACCTTTGGATCTAGCATGAACACAGCACAGATGATAACTGAAAACTTGGTAGTAAGTGATCCAGGGCTCAAATCCCAGTTTCTCAGACCACTTTCAACACCAACTGGGTCCATTTCAGTTCTCCAGTAAGCAGGTACCGAAATAGGGTTAGAAGAGCAAGAAATGTATAAGGGACTAGGAACAAGACTAAGCCTGGTTGAGATATATAGGAAGGGAGAGAAGAAAAGGAAAATGGATTTACAGAAGTAAATTCAGGAAATCCTGGCCAGCCACTATGACCCTCAATGCAAATATTGCCTCTAGAATAATCTGGAGATACACAAATGTGCCCACACCCTAATACACTGCAAGCTCAAGGTTGGCTAGTAGGTGTTAGGGTGGGAAAATGACTAGTGTAGGATCAGGGCAGCAGACACCGGAGGGCTGAAGCCAGGAACCATCAGCTAACAACCTCCTTGCTCAGGTTCTCACGTAAAGGAAGATCTGGGTGTTGTACTTCCACGCTAATGTGTCAGAGTACTTTAATATATGGCATGTAGAACTGAAAGTACTCAGAGGCCAAATTAGTGTCTGTTCTGCTAATGTGGGTGGGATCATTTCATTTGTTTTCTTACGGCTTCTAACCAGTTATTATATAAGGAAGATATTGACAGGGCAGGGCAGCCTTTTGAGACAGGATCGCCCTTTAGCTCAGGCTAATCTGGAATTTACTAAATAGCCCAGACTGGCCCAGACTCAGCCTCCCAAGTGCTAAGATTACAGGTATGAACCACTATGATTGGTGATTTTTTTTTCCTATTTAGCTGCTTTACTTTGAATTCCAGCTAAAGAGTTTGTCAGTTACTCCTCTGTTAAAAATATCAGCAAGTAATTCCATCTGCACATGATTTTGTCATCATTTTCAAAAATAGCGCTTTTGCCGTCATGCATGTGTAATGTTGTTGTTAACTAGAAGTGATCTCAGTTTATTAAGATGTGTTTTAGAAAGATTACTAAAAGAAGATTTTTAAAAAACCAACAAAGGAAGAATTTGCCTGTATGGTGAATTGCACTCACAGATAAAAATATGGATGAAAGCTGACGAACAGGAAGTATGCTAGCAGAGTAAGCCGGGCATGGGGATGCATGCCTGTCACCTGAGTGGTGAACTCAGGAGGCTGAGGGAAGCATACAAAAAAGGAAGGAAGCGGAACAATGGACTTCCATTGGCCTAACCTCTACTTTTGTTCAGAGCTGCTGGTTGACTCTTAGTGGGTCACACTTCTTTCCTAAAACAGTGTAGCAGAGAGCCAGTAGACCCTTTCTACAGTTCTGCTGTTTACACCAAGCTGTCCATGAGATGGCTCTCCTTTGCCACATGCTTTGCCAAGACCTACCAATATTGCCAAGTCAATTGTAGTCTGATTCCACATTAGCTAATTTTTTTCACTTACTTATTACCTGCCTCCAAACATTGGTTATAGAATATTATTTTTAAATAACTATTTATTATAGAAAATTAAGTGGTTAATTTAAAATAAATCCTGTCAACTAGGGATAACCACTGTGATTCTGTCAACATCTTTTCTTCTTTTCTTGAGTACATAATCTACAGCTGTTTATGTGCATTTTAAAAAACAAAAGCAAATCACGCTTGACATGCTGCTTGACTCAAACATTTGTCCTGGTATTAAATACTGTAGCCCACTGCAAACTATATCTCAGTTTAACCACTAATATTTTTATGCAATGCAATTTAGATTTGTCACCCAAGAAGCTTAAGTAGCCATTTCCCCCTCTGTGATGCCTTTTCTAGAGGAACTTGTAGCAGGAATCTTAAAAGTTCTTATCAATAAAATCAAACCTGAGGCCAGGTATTGGGGTGAATGCTGGAAGATCAGAGAAGCAGAACAAGCCACAACTACCTCACCTCACCAGTTCCTCAGCTGATCCTGTTTCCTCAGACTGGAAGCCTCTCAGTCTTCATCCAGAATGAACCTCAGCTGAACTGTGCTGCTCAAAAGCCTAAAAGCTTAACCAGCCAAATGCTTCTAGTTTCTGGTCTTCACACCTTATATATCTTTCTGCTTTCTGCCATCACTTCTTGGGATTAAAGGCGTGTGTCACCATGCCTGGCTATTTCCAATGTGGCTTTGAACTCACAGAGATCCAGAGGGATTTCTGCCTCTGGAATGCTAGGATTGAAGGTGTGAGTGCCACCATTTTCTAGCCTCTGTATCTAGTGGCTGTTCTGTTCTTTGACCCCAGCTAAGTTTATTAGGGTGCACAATATTTTGGGGAACACAATACCACCACAGGAACTTTTCAGACAAATTCAGGTATAAAAGAGTGGAAGATTTTAGTCCTAGACAGACCCTGAATTATGTCTAGTTGTGGGATCTCAGCTAGGGATAACTGAGAGAAGGTCACAGAACGCACATCCCTTTACTCCTTTTCTTTCTCTTCTAAGTGCTTTGACCAAGTATAATGCTCACCTTGAGGGACTTTTATAAACACTTGAATATTCTTATTCCTTGAGGCAATAATAATAATAATAATAATAATAATAATAATAATAAAAGGGAGTGATTTTAATGGATGCTAATGCTCATTTTCTCCTCGTAATTTTAACATTTTTGGTTTTGTCTCTTTTTCTCCTAGAGATAAGATTTGAGTTTCCACAGCTGACTGGAGTGCTTACTCTTGCTTTCTTTATTCACAATTGTATTATTACACTCTTGAAAAACAACAAGAACCAAGAAAATAACGTGAGTAGTTAACAGAGAAACTAACCTTGATATTTCCTAAGAATAAACTTTAATCAATGTTTGAAACGATTTATATTCTGAGTAAAATTATGCAGCTTGTTTCTACATCTTAATTTATAAGCTTAAATTATAGATCAGTGGTCAAGCATATGAAACTTTTAGATAGTAATATTTTAGGCTTTTCAGGCAATATGTTCTTGTTACAGCTACCCAGTCTTGCTGTTGTGACATGAAAACAGCTACAGACAATGGATACACAAATGGGCGGTGTCTATGTTTCAATAAAGCTTTATTTCAGAAACAGACAGTGGGTCAGATTTGACCCATAGACCAGATTCTATAGAGAATCTACTAAAAAAATAAAGAGGTATAGCTAATAACATTCCAATAATAATTAAAAAGACAAGAAAAGGAGAACAAAAAATAGCTGTGAAAAAGAAACTAAATAGCAAGCTAGTTGATTTAACCCCAGTTACATTGATAATTACACTAAATATAAATGGTCCAAGAACTACAATGAAAAATTGTCAGATTTGTTAAAAAATAAAATTAATTATATGGTATCTTTAAGAAACGTTAAGAATACTATAAGAAAGTAGAATACCTGTGTTACTAGCAGCACAAATGATAATACCAGAGTCAAAGTGGAATGATTATATTGTGATCTCATGGACTAATTTGCTTGGAAGTACCATTCGACATATATGAAATCTACATTTGAGTAAATGCCCTAATGGGAATAAGTGCGTACTGTGTTTCAATTAGATTTGGCCATTTACTAAAAGTATAAAAACATTAGTTAACAGTTCATTTATTCTTAGTTACTCATAATGTAATATTACAAATAAAGTACTGTCTAGTTGATACTATTAGATCATAATGTTTTTCATTTGTGTTTTTTTTTTTACTTTCCATGTTAAGACTACTAGTTTTCATAAGCTCACTTGTGAGTGAGTCTCTAAGCAAGTCATCATGCATTGCAAAGGAAGTGCTGTTTTCTGTTTACTCTGCTTTAATATCAGGTTATACAGAAATTATGCATTGAAATACAATCATTTTCATTTGTAAGAAGAAAGAAAGAGAATATAATAATCTTGAATCTATGTTCACCCAGTGATAGAACTTTAAAACACGTGAAGTGGGCCTGCAGGATGTCGCAGCAGGTAAAGGTGCTTGCTGCCAACCCTGACAGCCTGAGTTCAATCTTTGGGATCCGCATGGTGAAAGAGAAAACTGACTTTGGAAAGTTGTCTTCTGACCTTCATACACTGTAACACACACACACACACACACACACACACACACACACACACACACACACACCGCTAAATAAAATGTATTTAAAAATTAAAATAAATGAAGTACCAACAAACTGAAAGTAGACAAATCCACAATTATAATTGGAAATGTTCTCCCCTCCTCCTCAATAACTGGTAGAACAAATAGACAAAAAACTACAAGTGTAAGAAGCATGAGAAATGCCAGGAACCTACTTGATGTAACTGGTGTTTATAAAAGTCTTCTCAGTATCAGAACGTATATTCCTTTCAAATGCACAGGAACACCTACAGGAGAGGGTCCCTGCTAGGTCACAAAACAAGTGTCAATAAATGCAAAAGATAATTATGTCAAGTGTGTTCTCTACCATAAAGGAGCAAAAGTACAAACTAACAACTGACATTGGAGATTTCCAAATAAATGAAAGTTAGCCAACATCTTCCTATTCGGCCAGTGAATCAAGGAAGAAGTCACACACACACAAACTGAAGGTTACTGAAAAATGAACATTCAGAATACCAAAATTTATTGAATTGTCCCTAAAGCTATATTTAGAGGGACATGTACAGCCATAAATACCTACATTAAGAGTAAAGTTGTGGAATCAAAAGCCTAACCTTCCTCCACTTCCCAAGTGATAGACAGGAGGATCAGGAGTTCAAGGCCATCCACCACTACATAGTAAGTTTCAGGCCAGTCTGGACTATGTAAGACCATGTTTTGTTTTGGGTTTTTTTGTGTGTTTTTTTTTTTGTTTTTGTTTTTGTTTTTTTTTGTGTGTGTATGTGTGTTTTAAAGTAGTTTACCAGTAAATTTTTTTTTTTTAAACAAGGTCTTATTATGCAGCCTTGACTGGCCTGGAACTCACAGTGATCTGCCTCCTGAATTCTAGGATTAATAAGGAGTTAAATTGTAGGCAATTCTCACATTGCATGATTCCTGCGTGCACAAATTTAATTACTGTAGTTCAAATTACAAGTCCGATATGGTTCAAATTTCAGTTAGCCCAGGATTGGAACTATGAGCCTGGCGTAGAACAGTAGTCACTGTCCTCAGTTCACAAATCACTGTGTCAATAACAAGTGTGCATCATGATTAGTGACAGATCCCGTCACTGCTTTCAAAGTCAGCCAGCATTTGGTCACTTGCATGTCATTCACAGTCTAAAGAACAGATAATTGTGTTGCCCCCTCAGCAACAAACATGATAATTTATAAAGTTGATAACTGAAAAAGGTGAAATGCAATAATCAAAAACAGCAATGATAAAATGAAATTTCATTCAGACACAAATGGAGTTGTAAAAGAAATGGCTGATTATAGAAATGTTGAGACTGCTTCCATTTGAGAGACTCCAGATACACAGCCAGAGGAGTTTAGGAAAAGCAAATTTGGAAACTGGTTTTCAAGACAAGAAGAAAGATGTCACAGAAGGAGTGACAGTGTAGAAAGCTTCACATTAAAAGAAAGAACTCTTGGAGAAACCTCACCATATTGAGAGCCCAAGGGTGAAAAGTTAGACGCCATACAAAGCTTGCTACATAACATAATCATTCACAAAAAGGAGGCAAGTGTTAGCCCAGCCTTGCACTTCACATCTGCAACCCAAAGCTAGGGAGGTAGAGGCAGGAGGGTCAGGAGTTCAAGGTCAGTCATCCTTAGCTACATAGTGAGTTTCAGGCTAGCCTGGGCTACAGGAGACCTTGTACTTAAAAACCAGGTCAGGAAGGGGAAGAAGTGTAGTTCAAACTAATACTAAGTTTAAAAAACAAAACATCTAATGTTCAATGCTCCTGATTCATTCATTCATTTATTTGTTCATTTATTGCAATGCTGGGTATTGAACCTAGGGCCCTATGCATGTGGGCAAGTGCTACACCACTAAGCTACGTTCCCAGGCCCTTTGTTGCTGATTTTTTAAATTACAATATTAAATAAGCACCTATTTTAATATTTTTTCATTTCCTTCTCCATTTGTAGCAAATACAGTTTAATGTTTTGACAAAACTTGTCAAAGCTTACACAACCATCATAATTTCTGTCTCTGTGATTGATAGTCACAGCTCCCTGCTGCACAGTAACTTGTACTGCATGTGGAGACTGCCAGTGCTTGACCTTAGCTCCCAAAAGTCTCCAGGAGAATTGATTCTCTAGAAAGTCAGGCCTGCTTATTTGGAAGGGTGCAAGCCTCTTCATGGGAAGCTGAGAACTGGATAGAGACATGGGTGCCTTGGTGCCTTGTCCCAGGGCTGAGGAGGTCTCTGTCTGTCTCATTACCACAGTCAGGAGCCTGCAGATGTAGGTCAGCGGCACAGCTCCTGCTCAGCACGTGTGAGGCGTGAGTTTAAGAGCCAGTGGCACATGCACAGAGCAAAGTAGAATGCTGGACACCATGGGTTTCTCCTTTTGCTGAGTTGGTCAGTGGGGTCTTTGTAAAACTAGTACATGTGTTAGGTGCGCTAATGAAGTCTGTCTTCAGCTTTTGTCATTTGTAGAAAATATCTTTTAAAGAAAGACTTAAAGGCCCATGTTTAAATGGATTTTTTCTTTTTATTGTCTTAATTAAAACTAGTATGAAGTGATAGTCTAACGTTTAAAGTTTTTTTATTTTTAGTTTTCTACACCTGTTTATTCTGTGTGTATGCAAATGTCCTAGGTATACACAGAGGTCAGAAGACAACTTTGGGGAATCAGTTCGCTGTTTCCATCACGTGGGTCCCGTGGATTGAGTTCAGGTGGTGAGGCTTGGCAACCACGGCCTTTACCTGCTGGCCCTGCTCTAACTTTTCTGTAAAAGCAGTTGTACTTCATTCTTTCTAAATGTTAATTACCACAAAGAAAATGAACATTTATGAAGTACCATGTACCAGCAACATCCTAGCCACTCTGAATGGATGTAAACATACTGTGTCTTGCTTATACTGAAACTGGCTTTTATACTGGCAGAAATCAAGCTAAATGGATACCATACTATTTGAGTTATTTAATGATTACACCTTTTAAGAGCTTTCACTAAATAATTTGACTAAAAAATTGTCCAGTTGATAGTGAGGCACAAAATTTGGGGGGATTAAAGTCAGAAAATAGCAGAGTTGTGAAGACATTTGAACATAGAATGCCAATCATTCCCTCCAGTGTGCCCGAAGCTGGACCACCCCTTCCCTCCCAGGCACTTGTAAAGGATCCTAAAGCCCTCAGCAGCTGATTGGCAAGGTGGCCCAGGTTTCCAAGTTTGACTTTCCTTTCTGAACTTTTGTCACTAGACACTTTGTGTGTGTGTGTGTGTGTGTGTGTGTGTGTGTGTGTGTGTGTGTGTGTGTGTGTCTAAACTGTATATCATTTCTGTTCCTTAAAGCATACTTGACCAGAAAAACATCAGGGGGTTGAAAATGAACTTACCATCAAATGCGTGGTCTGTGTGGGTGTGTGGGTTCGCCTCCTGATAGTTCTTGGTGAGTCAGACCTCATGCAGAGCCTTCTGTGTAGTTTTGTTGTTTGATTTAGTTGTTACAAGCTTTGATCTCTAAAGTGGTTCAACATATCTTCTATCTCATTTGCTATTCCTTTTTTCTTGTCTGAGTCTGTAGATCCTTGGCCACAGATCAGAAGTTTTTATGTAAAAGTTTGGAGTAGAGCTGTATGGTTATTGTCTGTCATTTTTCTTAGTGAATGCTCTATAGGATAGTGTTTTCACTGTGAACAGTACATGCAACAAATAAGCTGTGTGTGACAAACAGAAGTGTTCCTTTTGACCTTGCTGTAAATCTAGTCCTCAGTCGGAGTTGACTTTCTACCTGTCTTTAGTTCCTCCATCTTCCAGCCATCCCTAATAATGAAGCAGAGTAGGGTGCAGGATTCTTGACATAGGTGTATTACCACCTCATACTGTGCTTTTATCTCTTTGTAAACATACTCCCACCCTCTTCAAGACAGGGTCTCAGTGTAGCCAGGGTGGCCTCAAAGTCATTGTGTAGCTGAAGATAATTTTGAACTCCTGATTCTTCTTTCTCTATCTCCCGATTGCTGAGGTTACAGATAGGTACCATCATACTCAGTCACCCTAATTTTCCATAAGATAATTTTCCCTACCCTTTTCCATGAGATGGGGTTTTAGGAAGCTATATTTTAGGTCTAGTACAGAGATGATATGGGGTTTAAAGAATAGCAAGCCCCCAATATATGCATGCTATTCGTGGGCAGCATGATTCCCAGGTCATGCTGAACCTCAGCTGCTTTATAATAAAAGCGTCATTTCTGTTCATCAGCAGTTCCATATGAAAACAGACACACGTCTCCTGTCTGAGCTGTACTTAATATGTGCCGAGTACATGTAACAGAGCTGTCCTCGAAGGCGTTTGTTTTCTTGTATCTCTAGTTGTGCTTTCGTGTTATAGTCTTTGTTACTCCTTTTTGCCTCTTTTTTTTTTTTTTATTAGTAATATGGTTTAAATACCCGGAGACTGGTAAACTTTTCATCATAGTAGTTAAGTGCACACAATTTGGCACCAGAAAGACCTTGTTGGAGGTTGGAATATTGGCTTCACCCAACTACTCACCATGTAAAAGCTTTGTGACTTGCACTCAGCTGTAAAGAAATGGACTGCAGCTACAGCGTAAGGGTTTGTGAGGATCAGATGGAACGGCACGCAGGGCTTAGCACAGATGTGGGCATCTAGAAGTCGTTAACAGAGGTGTGTATTCTATCTGTATCAAGTTCCTGCCATCATTACCAGGTGTCCCCTGACAAGACCACAAGGCCCACGGGTGGGTAAAGGGCATGGAGAAGAACCACTCTGGAGACAGTCACAGGGAACAGTGTCTGCTTTATTGAATGTGAGCAACTACTTACACAGTGGAAGCCTATAGCCTGTGATTGTTTAGCATATTACCTCGGATTGGATAGTGAGTGCTCACAACACCAGGGTCTCTACGGGGAAGAAACACATAAAAAGAGACATGGAGAGTGTGGTTTGTCTACAGGCCAGCTACCAGTTACTAGCACTCCTTCAGAATTCAGTGTTCCGACTTCTGAGGCACGGTGTGCCATGCTTCTTATTTAGAAACACAGTGTGCCAGGTGGGCTGGCTGCCAGGTGATGTCTGTATTTTATCCTCCTAGTTCCTGCTATGTCCAATATTGTCCTAGGTATTGGGAGTATAAGGTCTGTGATAAAATAACTACTAAACTTGGCTATTTTTTAATGTCAAGGGACATCTTTCCACTCAAGAACTTTTTTCCAAAAAATTGATAATTTTGGGAACTGGAGCAATGAATTAGCCTTTAAGTGCGTGAACTATTCTTGTAGAGAGCCCAAGTTCAATTCCCAGCACCCACACTGGGCAGCTCACAAGTGCTTGTACCTCTAGGTCCAAAGAATCCAACACCCTCTTCTTACCTCTGTGGACACCTGGGCTCCTTCCTGTGCATATACCAACACACACACACACACACACACACACACACACACACACACACACACGCACATGCACACACACACACACACACACACACACACACACACACACACAATATAAAAATCAAAGTTAATGGTGATTAGAACATTAGCATTGCTGCACTTGGCTAATGCCCTGAGAACAGGGAAGCAGGGAGGGAACCCTGTTTTGTTGGGAGCCACTGGTACCGTAGCCTTGGAATCATCATTCACGTCCTGAAGTTTCACTTAGGTACAGGTTTTTATAGGAAGTTGGACTACAGTAAGACAGTCAGATGTAAGTTAAAGACTATCAGTGAAATCTTTCCCTTCTCCCTCTCTGACACAGTTGTTTTCCCCTCCATTTTCTCTCTGTGTGTGTGTGTGTGTGTGTGTGTGTGTATGTTATGCATATGTATGGGTGTGTGGAGCCCAAGGTTGAAGTTGGGAATCATCTTCAATTGTTCTTACCTCTTCATTGAGGCAGAATCTCTCAATCAAACCCAGAACTCACAGATTTGACGAGTCTTGCCAATCACACTGCTCTGGGGACCTCAAGTCTCCCTTCCAAGGCCAACTTGGCATTGATGTGGGCTTATGGAGATCTGAACACCAGTCCCCACGCTTCTGTGACAAGCACTCTAACCATGGAGCCATCTCCCCAGCCCCCCAGGGTTTTCTTTTCTTAAGGGGGCTATATTGGGCTGGACAAATGGTTTAGCAATTAAGAGCATGTACTGCTTTCTCAGAGGACCTGGGTTAGTTCTATTAGGTAGCCTACAACCACCTGTAACTCCAGTTCCAGGGGTATCCTTGGGTACCAGGACCCATGTGCACCCACAAACACACACACACACACACACACACACACACACACACACACACACACACGCATAAAAATAACAAATCACTTTTTAAATGAGGCTGTCTTAATTCTTGAGCCAGCTTGAGTAGGTGGAGACCGGAATGCCTTTGAAATGTTGTAATTGTAGTCAACTGCTTTTTGATATGAAAATAGGCATTTCTCTATTTGTTTTTGCTCATCCCACACAAGAGTGTGACACAACATCAGAGGAAACCAAATTCCAGCTGACCTGGGCCCTAGAGCTTCAGGAACTAAAGAGAAAAGATTCCGAAGCCCCTTGCTAGACAGTAAGCCCTCACAGAGATTTGGAAGGGCTGGGACCAATTTGCATAAGCCTCTAGCTCCAGGGGCCTACCCACTATCTCATTTCTGATACTGAAGTCCTCGTTTGTTTTCAGACTGAATGGCACTTTAGACCTGACCTTAAGATTTCTCATAAGTTCTTGTTTGCCTTTCAGCCAGATTTATGAATGTCAAGTTTATAAAACACTGCTCTTGCTTCACCCCACTTTAGGAGTCATCCAGAAAAATCCAAAATGTTCCCTAAATCCAAGTGTCTGAGCATTCTTACTATGTTATCAAACTTAAAAACTGTGTATAATTTTTTCTAATCTGTTTTCCCAGCTTTCATGTAGTCTCTATCTAAAATGAATAGGCCTCTTGCTACAATTTCGTCGTGTTGAATTGTTTGGCTCCAGCTTAAGTGGCAATGGAGACATTGTGCAGGCTGTGGAATCTGCTCTGTTTGGATCTAACAGCTGGCTGCTTTCAGCCTCTTGGAGCTTTTTATTTTGCCTGGACTGGGAGGGTGGGAACGGCACTGGAAGAAAGCAGACTGCTTTATTTAATAATCTGGGTTTGTTTGCTGATTCCGGTAATAGCCTTGGACAGCTCTTTAACCAGCTGCTTTTTCAATGTCCGTTTATTTACTGTTTAAGTTTTCAAAGCTTGTCCTTAGTGTGTACTTGTCTACTCTTTAACTAGTGTCCCTTCTTTATTAAATATGTTTCCTTATGTTCCGCTCCTGTTGCCTACACATACTTGGATGATATAAGCTAATTTACTAAGAAAGAATTTTTAAAATTTCATAGGTCAAACCAAAAGTGGCTTATACTTTCTTGTTGTCTTTATTATTATAATTAAGTATTTTTTAATTTGGCAAATGTTACCTTTTGAAATTAAATTAGAACTTCAGTCGTGTTAAACCACAGTTTATATTAGCTCCCAAAATCTTCTAACAAGTAGTTTAGTAGTCTACATACTCCAGACAAGTTAAAAAAAAAAATCAGAGTAATTAAATATATATATGTATATATATGTATGTATATATATATTATAGTCTGAAAATTAGCAAGTATGTAGACACATACAAAATAAAAATATAAATGTAGGTTTGTCTGTTGGACTCCTTGCTTAGTGTGTTGGAATAGATGTACTATGATGTCTTCACATTGAGTGAGTGTTGTATTCTGTTCCTGTGCAGGTGAGGGACCTGTGCATTGCGTATATGCTGGTGACGCTGACTTACCTCTATATTGGCTTCCTGGTCTTTGCCTCATTCCCTTCACCCCCATTATCCAAAGATTGTATTGAGCAGGTAAGGCACGGTGTGCACGTGTGTAACTTTGTGTGTGGAGCAGGGAGAATGATACAGGAGCCAGATCAGCCAGACCTGGATTTGAATGCCACCTCTACCTTCCCCATCTTTCCCAAGTTTCGATTTTGTCTTGCATCAAGTAACAGAATACATGCAGGCTCCATTTGATGGATTCTGGAATAAGGTTCTGCATACTCGGCAGCTTGTAATGCTCGAATGACCACTCTTACGTGCACACATTTCTCTTTGTATAGATCACTGTTACCAGTGTTCCCATGGATTTCTAAAACCTCCACGGAGAAGTCACTGAAGTCCCTGATTTCCCAAATCTTACTTGTGGGAATGTCCAGGGTGAACCTGTTTTAATTCATTGATCTTTAAGGACAGATAGGACTCTTGTTTAGAGACTGAATAAAAAGCAGCAAAACAAAGCAGATGATTTAGCTATTAAAATGTGAGAGCCAGAAACAGTAAGAGAGAAGTCCTTCACTAAGCAGTTGTAGTGAAACTTAGAAATAGTAACATCTTGGGTATTAAAGAATTTCTCATGAAGAACAGCATTTCACTGGTGATTTTCTAGTCAGAGGAAACCCCTCTAGGAGTCCAGGGATTGTGTTTTAAGCCAGTTCTAAGGTGTATTTCAGCAGTGTTGATAGTGTTCTCTGCAAGGAGACAGAGCTGCTGCCGTGTGATAGCTGGAAATGTTCCCCTCTTCATCTTGTTATTTGTGGAAGTTCTTTGGAAGCCAAGTGTTTGCTGAATTTTCCCTGATGTGAATAATCACATATAACGCCAACTCCCCTGGGAATAGGAATATTTGTGGTATTCATAGTTGAAAGGGCAAATGTAATTCTGAGTTATTAACTTTTTTAGGATACCAGACTGAAATGAAAAAAACAAGCCAAAGCGTCAAAGTAACTCCTTTCTACTTAGTGCTGGCCTGCAGGCATTGATGGTAGCAGGTGCACTCTCACCGTGCACACTCTTGGAAGTGCTGCAGTGTCGGTGGAGGAAGAGCAAGAGAGCTATATAGTAAAGATACAATGTCATGGAATTGAATTTGCCATTTAAATAAATCGGGAACAAATTTACGTATTGCATATGAGCTTTTTAGAGCTGTGGTTCCTGCACGGTCTGCTGTGAAGAGCAAAGTTTTCTTTATTGTTTTACCGTTGAGTCCTTTTTAGACCAGAATTTTTATAAAGCAGAATATGCCAGTGTTGGTGTTTTATCAGTTTCTAAATATGTAATTTTGGTTTCTGTACTCACCTCTTGACAAATAGTTGGCAAGTGGTTTGTAGACGGGCATCAGTTCATAAACCACTATTTGGGTATTGTCTGTGTTCACAATAAGCAGCAAATGAGGCGAATTGAATGTACTGCATTGAGTGTTGACATGACTCCATTGTCTTTCTTGGATTAGAACTTCTTAGACAACTTCCCTAGCGGGGACACCTTGTCCTTCATTGCAAGGATATTCCTGCTGTTCCAGATGATGACTGTCTACCCACTCTTAGGCTACTTGGCTCGTGTTCAGCTCTTGGGCCATATCTTCGGTGACATTTATCCTAGGTAAGGGTTCTTCTCTTGACCAGCAAGATGTGCCAAGCAACAAATGACTGTGCAAACAGGTCAGTTTAAAGTTTGACTGATCCTTTTGCTATTAAAAAAAAAAATGCCTAATGAAAATGGTTACTAAAAACAGATCACAGGGTCCTTTTCCCAGAAGAGCTTTAAATAGAGATGCCACTCCCTTGCCCGGGACAATCTGGTGTCCATCCTTTCCAGGACAGTCAATTAGCCCTGATGTCTATTATTATCTTTGTAGGATTTAACTGCTCCTAAGTGCACCTTTCTAAGAGGTGTTGGCACTTAGAACCTATGTTGCTGCGGTGCTCAAGGCAGCCAATGCTCTTAATAACTGATAATAATACATATATGTTTATTACTAGGTGTACATTCCTATAGAAATGCCAAGTTGTATAGAATTGAAGGTGAGACATAGAATGAGTTTAAATTCTTATTTCATATATAACAAATTTAAATCACTATGGGAATTTTAGCCTCTTAATGGGTCTAGAGTAATTGTGCACCCTTTTGAATAAGATCTGTTCAGGTAGTTACCCTTACCCAAGAGAAATTTCCATGTAACATCACTGTGTTTCCAGGAGTTCCTGAAGATTTCTCACAGTCCCCTGATTAACCCTTACAGTAAATATTACATAAGTACCTAGCCTTATTTCATTGGGAATAAATTAGCTTTGAAAGGGTAGGTGTTTGAGAGAGGGTATCACTATGTAGCCAGAGCTATCATGGAACTCATCCTGCCTCAGCCTCCCAAATGGTGGGATTATAGGTGTGAATGGAATACATATTTTAAAGGAAAAAGACTTATTAATACAATATAGGAAAGCATTATATTTATAATAACATACTAAACAAGACTTTAACTCTTAAGCAATATTAAACAAACAATTCCTGTTTGTAGTCTGTCCCCTCATGAAATATTTCAAATCAAGAGCTACCAGGTATTCTGGATACATTGATACAAAGTCCTCTTGTACATTAATGGGTAACAAGCTACAGTTCTAACCCTGCTAATCTATTGGAGTTCAGAAAATACAAAGTTTCTGTTTGCTACTCCATTGAGTCTACTGTATTTCTTTCACCAAAATAAAACAACGCAGTAAAGTCATTGGTGAAATATTTCTGGGCTAATGCATCATTCCTGTCTTTGGCCATTTTTTGTTTCGTTTTCTTTGTTTTTTTCCAGACAGGGTTTCTCTGTATAACAACCCTGGCTGTCCTGGAACTCACTATGTAGACCAGGCTGGCCTCCAACTCAGAGATCCACCTGCCTCAGCCTCCCGGGTGCTGGGGTTACAAACCACTGCCTAGTTTTTTTTGTTTTCCTTTTTTCCACTATTTTAATGGTGCCCATTAGAGTGGTTTTTCTTCTTGGAAAAAAGTCTGAGATTTCCCTTTTGTGTTCACATTTTTTTCTTCCCTGTGACAAGAACACACTGCCATTGCCCTACATGATGGTGCATGATTTTTTTGAACTCCAGACTTCTTTATACTCCTCAATTTTATTGAGTATTACCAGGATCTTTCATTTTCAAAGGTACATTATCAATATTTTATGTAAAAAAAATTAAAACTAAAAGTTTTAGGGTATTTATTGATTCCTTAAAAAAATCTAAGCAGAAAGGCACACCTGTAATGCCACCCACCTAGGTGGTAGGGACAGGAGAACCTCAAGGGTTTGGCCAACTTGGAAAACAAATGCATCATTCTTAAGACCCTGGCACTCCTCTCAAAAAATTATAAATAAAACCATTACTTGTTAACATGAATAATATTTTTATGAAAAATAACTGATTCCCTGGAACATTGGTTTTGTTTTTTTTGTTTTTTCAAGACAGGGTTTCTCTGTGTAGCTTTGTGCCTTTCCTGGATCTCGCTCTGTAGTCCAGGCTGGCCTCGAACTCACAAAGATCCGCCTGCCTCTGCCTCCCGAGTGCTGGGATTAAAGGTCTGCACCACCACCGCCCGGCTCCCTGGAACATTGTTGTACAGTTAAAAACTCTTTAATGTCTGCTTTCTGGTTGACAGTTGAAGTCTGTGTTTCTACATTGTCTGCTATACTATCCTTTCATTTAGGTATGTGAGGAAAATTCAGCCTCATGTAGATGTAGAGTTGGAGAAGAAGAGGGGCCTTTTATAGCTTGTCAGATAATTGAGGATGTTCCTCATCTTTGGTGCCATGACGGACTGGACACAGCGTAGCTCCTCGTCCGCACTGTACAGTTGGAAGCTGGCTGCCTGAAAACCCATTGAGTTCCCTTGCTTTGTGCTTCTCGGTCCCTGAATGAGTTTATGACATCATATTTGGTCAATATTGGTTCCCAGAGTTCTGTAGGTCTCTCCAATGTTCACACACTTCTTTATACGTCACTGAAACTCACATCCGTTAATATCACTACCAGTTTCATCCCAAAAAGTCTTTACATTTTGGAAAGCCATCAAACTCACAGTGGCAAGTGCCAAGTTCTCCAAAATCCTAGTTTTTATTTGAAAACTCAGTTGTTACTATCAGCAATGAATACTGCCTGTTTTCCTTAAATGGCAAGCTCGTCAACATTCATTTATAGGAAATGTCAGTTCATCAACAAGTGTGGATGGCTGCTGTTTTGGCTGCACTTCCAGAAATGGTAGCATTTGTTGAGCCTGTCGGATAGTTTGGTCCAGCTCTGCTGGCAGCTGCCTTTCCTCAAGACATCCGTGTACTTGAGTGTGCAGGTGTGCTTGATTGCTTCCCACGTGACCACATAGAATATTAAAAAGGTACACACTCCAAGGATGACATCCGATACACTAAGCTTTGCTCCTTTCACCCATGGGTGGTAGAAATCGAACCCAGGGCCTGGAGCACGTTAGGTAAACGCCCCACCAAGTCATACCCCCACCCCTCTCATGGACGAAGTTAATAAGTATTTTCTCCTGTTTCATTTTCTCTTGAAAGTGTTGGCAGTGAACACTCCATCATAGAACACAGCGAGGTGCCTTTGCCCTCCTGTGTTGCTTTTGTAAAGCATGCCGTGTCTTGTACAGTTAGGAGAACAGGGTTTACCTCAAAGGCTTCCTGAAACGGAATTCATGGTCACACTTGGAGAACAAGCTGCTGCTTTGGAAAATAAACCAAAGTTTTTCTCCTAGTAAAACAAAAGGTCCAGCAAGTTGAAGGTTGGAATTCTAGGTGACTAATAACATCTTGACACCTAATAGCTCTGTAACTTATCGAGATGTATGATAACTACCAACCAGCATAAATAATTTTCCTTACTTTTTCATACATTGGCAATATGCTCTGCCATACCTTCCTACCCTCCACTTTTTTCTTTGATTTTCTTGTTTAGTGAAAATCCAACTAGCTTTTTTTCCAAATTGTTTGGATAATTCTTGATTATTTACATAAATAATGGTGTTATTTTTAATAATTTTTACTATATTCTGTCAGATAAATTTGATTTCCTTGATCTACAGTCTTATTTTTTTCATAAGTACTTTAATAGGTTTTTTTCATGGTTTTGTTTTCTCAAGATATTCCAAGCAAAATTATAGATAAAATGTGTACTCTGGTGCATACTACTAGTTTGCACCTAATAAATTTTTTATAGAATTTTTATAGAATTAGATAAAAAGGCCAATTTCACTTTCTATTTACCAGCATTGAGTAGTATATTTCAGCTTTGTTGACAAAGTAAAGACAATCATTTTAAAGGTGTTAAGAATGAATTTTAGCCAGGTGGTGATAGCGCACAGCTTTAATCCCAGCACTCGGGTGTAGCTAGAGTTTTCCTGCCTGGCCCACAGTCAGGACAAATCTTTGTCACCCGCCAGTCCCACAACCGCTCAGACCCGACCAAGTAAACACAGAGACTTATATTGCTTACAAACTGTATGGCCGTGCCAGGCTTCTTGCTAACTGTTCTTACAGCTTAAATTAATCCATTTCTATAAATCTATACCTTGCCACGTGGCTCGTGGCTTACCAGCATCTTCACATGCTGTTTGTCATTGTGGCGGCTGACAGTGTCTCTGACTCAGCCTTCCACTTCCCAGCTCTATTCTCCTCCTTGTCCTGCCTATACTTCCTGCCTGGCCACTGGCCAATCAGTGATTTATTTACTGACCAATCAGCAACACACTTGACATACAGACCATCCCACAGCACTCGGGAGGTAGAGGCAGGCAGAGATCTCTGTGAGTTCCAGACCAGCCTGGGCTATAGAGTGAGATCCAGGACAGCCAGGGCTGTTACACAGAGAAACCCTGTCTCGAAAAACAAAAAACAAAAAAGAAGAAGAGAAAAAAGAATGAATTTTAATTGTCCTAAAAATTGAGTATAACTTACCTGTTTTATATCTTTTCCTTCATATAAATTCTCTTTTACCTTCTAGCATTTTCCACGTGCTGATTCTTAATTTAGTCATTGTGGGAGCTGGAGTGACCATGGCCTGTTTCTACCCAAACATAGGAGGGATCATAAGGTACACCGTACACACATGCTGTTGTCATTGTTGCTGTTGATGCTTTAACTGAACGAATGCTCTGGAAGTGTTTCATACTGGTCATGTTCAAGTATACTTTCTGCTGTTTGTTAGGTGCTTATTAAACTCCGTTTTTGCTGATCTCTGAGAAGGAGCTCTAGGAGCCTCCTGGTCCCGCAGCTACCTTTCTCTTTATTTTTCTCATTTTCCATTGTGTTCCTTTTATCTGAAATAAAAAGTTATTTTCAATATACATTACTTCTTAGGTGCACCCAGGAAGTCCTTTATCTGTCAACACCATGTCTGCCTAACTTTTAATACGTTTCTACTCAAAAAGAAAAAAGATTCAAAAAGCAAGAGTTTAGATCCAAGATGGCTCTTTTTAATGTCCTTTCTAAAAAAAAAAAAAAGAAAAAAAATGGTTGATCATACTGTCGCTAGAAATGTGTTCAGAATAATCTGAGGCCTTCCTCGATATGAACAGCAGACTGAGTGAAATGCCTTCAAAATGATCTGATGTCTTCCTTGATTTAGACATCAGATTGAGTCATTCTTGTTAAGAATTTTTCCTAAAAAGGTAGCAAGCAATAAAAGAAGAAAGTGGTGCCTGTGGGGACAGTGTTCTGTGTGCCTGTGGGGACAGTATTATTGTTTAGTCAGTGTTTCTATTGCTGTGAAGAGACACCATGACCACCGCAACTCATATAAAAGAAAAACATTTTACTGAGGTGGTTTACATTTTCAGAGGTTTAGTCCCTTATCATCATGGTAGGACATGGTTGTGTGCAGGCAGACATGTTGCTGAAGCTGAGAGTCCTACATCTTGATAAGCAGGCAATTCTCACTGGACGTGACTTGAGCATATATGAAACCTCAAAGCCCCCCTCCACAGTGACACACTTCCTCCACCAAGACCACACCTACTCCAACAAGGCCACACCCCCTAATAGTGCTACTCCCTTTGGGGACCATTTTCTTTCAAACCACCACAGTTATGTGATGTCTGTGCGAGAGAGTGTTCTGTGGTGTCTGTGAGAGGGAGTGTTATGTGGTACCTATGGAATATAATGGACTTAAAAGTCCCTGTTAAAGTATTCCTTGAGAAAATGGGAAATTGCCTCTTTCTCTGTCAAAACTTATTTAAGAATTTTTGTCTTCCTTGATAATTACACTGAATGAATTCCTTTCTTCTCATTCATACACAGGTGCTTCCAATCCCTCACAAACCCTGAATGACTTTATAAAGGTCAAAAATGGAGATGGGGGATGTAATTCATTTGGTAGAGAACTTGCCTGGCATGCACAAGGCCCTGGGTTCCATCTCCAGCACCTCATAAACCAATGTGGTGTTGTGGGTTTGAAATGCCCACACTTTGGAAGTAGAGGCAGGAGGATCAGAAGTTCAAGGTCATTCTGAGCTATGTAACAAGTTCAGAGCTAGCTTGGTCTCCGTGGGAGCCTGTCTCAAAAAAAGATCAAAGATAAAAGTCTGTCTCCAGATATGTCTGAGATTTAAGAAATGAATAAAACCTGTTTGCCATGCAGATATTATAAAGACAAGCAGGAAATAATATTTTTGTTAATTTAAAAATCTAACAAGTTTTAAACTCAAATGTCAGTGACAAATGACAAATTTTGTTGCAAAATGAGACTGAGCACAATTTAAATTATACTGTATTTACCTTAATTATAAGTCATCCAAAATACAGCACGACCATTAACCCAGAAAGTTTTCGTTCTGCAGGTACTCAGGAGCAGCGTGTGGCCTGGCTTTCGTGTTCATATACCCTTCCCTCATCTATATAATTTCCCTTCACCAAGAAGAGCGTCTGACATGGCCTAAATTAGTCTTTCACGTTTTCATCATCATTTTGGGCCTGGCAAACCTGATTGCTCAGTTCTTCATGTGAAAACTGTTTTCTCGAGATTTCTCATGGTATTCTGAACCTTGGCAACGGTTCTGCATAAAAGAACTTGAAAATGCTGTCATTGCTGTAATTCTAAGTGTTTTCCTAAGATAACTGAGAGCAAGGGAAATGATGGTCTGCTGATAACTATTTTTGTACTGGAGCAGGGAGGGAGGGATCGGATGGTCTGAGCCCTCTGCCTTTCTCAGTGACCCCCGTTCCCATGCATCCAAGTAGAAATACAGAAGGAGTCATACTGATTTTTCTGTTGATGAGTAGAAGGTAGGTGGGTGTGTTTTGCCTACAGCAAGGAATCTCAGGGGTCTTGGGTCGAGGCGGCCTGTGGCCAGACCCTGGTTCCGTTTCAATGTTCTCTCTTCCAGTTTCTTACTTGCTGGACCTTTTCTACAGTTTACTCAAACCTCTGCTGTTTCAAACAGTAAAACAAATACCTCATTTTAAAGGAAGTTTCCATGGCATCATTATTAATTGACTGAATTCCTAACTGAATACTTAATCTGAAGAACAAAAAAGTTTTAAATAGTATCCGTCCACCAGAAAATGCATGTAAAGTAAGGCCAGAGGGGCAGTTGGTACGTGTCGGTGAGCACTTAGGTGGTGGGGTAGAGGATCTGGGGTTTAGGTCATCCTCAGTTTCGTGGCCAGTTTGAAACCAGCCTGACTATATAAAGCCTGTCTCAAGACATCAAAAGAAAACATGGGTCAGATAAACTTGGGCACAGTTTGTTTCTGTCTGACTCTTAATTCTAATCCAGTTCCAGGGACCTAGATTGAGGTTACAGTTCCCAAGCCAGATCTTGCACGTAACAAAAGCAGTTGTCCTCCTAAACCTAGGGGACTTTTACTTCTCGTGCCCTCGAGCATAGCATGGACTGTCATGAAGTCCAATGGAGACAGCGTGAGCAGAGAGGGGCAGTGTATGAGGCTCTGCAGAAGAGAAAGGGACTAGCTGGGAAGGGTGGGACTGCGCCCAGTGTATCCCGAGTCATTCTGGTCCAGCTCTGACCTCCAGGAGCCGACACCATCCACCTGCTCCTATAACGGGAAGGGAAAAGTTAGCCTCCCCAAGAAAACCTTGTGTCTGACAAGAAGATTGAGAAACCCAGGTTCTAAGAGTTAGCATCCCATTTCCCGTCTGAACTAAAAGCTGAACCAGAATCCAGATGTCTGTCTTCCATGTAACACGGTCTGTGTTCCACCCACAACTACTAACACTTAGAGCTCTCTAATTTGGGGCTAGATTGTTTAAAATGCATCCTGATTCCACTTCCCAGGACAGTGTGCAGATTTGTGTCATGTCCTTCCTTTGGGGAAAAAAACAACAAACAGGTGGAATGGTTTTTATAAATCTAGTGAGGAGCTCCAGATTTAAGACCAGCTTTAATTTCTTTCAGCATAGTTTAACGTCCTGTTGGAGTTACAGGCCTGTTTATAAGAAGCTGTAGTTCCTAACACTTTAAAGTCTCGTTATGAGCACTGTCGAGCACATACACAAATAGAATAGTATGGAAAACTCCTGTACACCCATCCCTGAGTCTAGTAATTACAGACTTAGCTGAATTTGCTTCACCTGCTCCCTCCTGCCTTTTTCTTTTCTACTGACATATTTAAAAACCAATCTCAGACATTATGTCATTTCATTTCTACAAACCTTAATATCCAGCTAATAGCCCGAACTTTGAACCTAGTCACATTCATCATGGAGCTGGTCTCAAAAGCTCTGGCTAGCAGAAACTGCTGTAGAAGTCATGTTGCAGGGGTAAATGCCTTTGTGCTTGGGGGGACCCTGGAACCTCAGACTGCAGAGTCACGTCTGTAAAGAGGCATTCGCCTCAAAGCTGGGTGCTTTAAGTGATGTTCCTGACTTAATCTCTGTCTACTTGTAGTCGTTTCTTTTGTGGTTGAGAACTTCAGAAACGATTTTCATTGCTTTTTCCCCAAAGACATTCTTGAATGCTTTAGCACATCAGAGATGTGTTATGCTTTAACAGTCAAGGATGACTGGATGTGGTTTTGCCTGTTTCATAGATAAAAGGAATATGGTAAAGGATGCTACTCTTCGAACAAAAAATATGGATTTATGCTTTTGTTTTCTTAAAGAGATTTGATCGTTTAGACCTCCTAATGCCCTGTAGACAGCTCCTTCGTCTCTTCATGAGACTCCTCTGCCTGTCACTTGGCTTAGTCAGACTCTGCATGAGTGCGAGAGTCCTGGCTTATGAGAGCGATGAGAGATGAACTCACACGCAGTTAATCTGACTTTCTCTCTACTCTCGTCTCTTTGAACTCTCTAATTAAACTGCTTTCACTTTTTGCTCTGATGTGGTTAGCCTTTGGATTTAACTTCTTTAACCCCCCCGCCAAGGACACTAAAATTGTAAAGGCATTGTTTAGAGAGATCTCCCTTAGAAATAAATCCTATGGATCTATTTGGGCTATGCTAATATTAAACCAGAAAGGGAACAATGGAGATAAGTTTTACACCTGTGGGTGATCATGCCAAGTCACTGCCATTGGCACACTCCAAAAGTGTGCTTGGAATAGGACTAAATGTGCCGTTGGAAGAGACTGTCTTAAGGGAAATACTGCATCTACATTAAATGTGTTGTAGAAATGTCAGCAGCTACCGGCTGCAGCAGAGGGCCTGGTGTCCGCTTCTACTTGAAACTTACCAAGAAAACGCTTGTGTGTTTTTAATTATCGTTCCCGTAGTTGTTCTGTGTAAATAACTGAGTAGTCCGCAACGTGCATTACTTTAGAGGAGCTTAAAGATGTATCAGACAGCATGCCGTCCTAAAGGGACTTTTGAGCTAGTGAAGAAACAGCGTGTTCATTCACACTCAGGGTAGTGTTGGGCCTGTTGGAGCAGCGTGGCGTGCTGGGGTGGGACGGCAGAGGAAGAGGAACTGTCCAGAGGCAAAGGACCCTTTTCAGTTTCCTCCTACTCCCCAACATTATGTTCACTGCGCTCACCAACAACTAGAATGATATGTTACATGCATTTCGCTTTATTGGGGCAGGTTTCCTCGAAAACATATTTTGTGACACTTAATTGCTTCTTTATGCTATTATTTCCTTTTCCTTATTATCACTGAAGTATTTAACTCCTATAACTCCTGGACAGAAAGCATAATTGATTAATATGAGATGTAACTAGTCATACACTGGGTGCTATGAACAGATTCTATAAAGTTTTCAAATTTTTAATTGTTTTAAATATGAATATTCAAAATGTCAAATGTTTACATTCATTGATGTACCAGTGTTTTGCCTTGTTTCTGTTACCATGATAAAATACTATGACCAAAAGCAGGAGTCTGTTTTGGCTTACGGTACCAAAGAGGGAATCCATGCTGGCCAGGAAGGCATGTGAACAGGGCTGGCAAATCACATTTCATCTGCACACAGGGAGACAAGAGGGCAAACACTGAGTGTGGAGAGGTGTGAACTCACAGCCCACCCCCAGGGACACACCTTCTCCAGCCATGCTTCATTCGCTGAAAGTTCCAGAACGTCCCCAAACCAGCTGAGGACCAAGTGCTCAGACTCATAAGCCCATGGGGAGACTTCCCACTGAAACCCCCACAGTTGATAATAGCGGAGAATATCATGCTGTGTGTTTCCCTTACCCAGTATTGACCTGTTGCTTTTTAGAAGTTGGTGGTGCTTTGGGTTTTGTGTTTAACTTGACTTCCTACCAACTTGAATGTCCAAAAACAAATCCAAGTCTAGCTGGTGCCTAACAATAGTGTGTCCCTGGTCTGTGATCCAAAGGGAAATGAATCCCTGATGTCACACACACACGCTGACCCGGGTGGCCCACTTTCTCAGTCCCGCCGCCAACTTCACTTAAGATTGTATAAACACATATTGTAAAACAGTTCTGATGGGAACCTCAGAATCCAAACAGTATTCTCTGATATATGATTTGTCTTTTTATAGAAAAAAAAAGAAATTAAATCAAAATTATTTTAAAGAAAAGTATCTCTGGGATTTTGTTTAGTAGAATTTGGCTAGGAAATACTATGGCCTCCTAGCGCTGGCCACAGGCAGAGGCAGCTAGGTTCCACACTTCTCAAGTGACTGTGCCTATATCTCATGTCAGAAGTTTTCCTTAAAGTCCTGATCTTCTAGGAAGGCATATATCACATTAACTGAAACCTAAGGTGACCATCCCCGTAAACTGTGGCTCTTTAGGTAAGTGTTGCCCAGTTTCTGGCCTAAAGCCCTGGAAAAGTCATAATTTCCAAAACTTTTTAAGCTAATAAAGGACCCTAATTTTCTGACTTCTTTAAGTAAAATTACTTTTTGCCCCCACCAAATATCATTTTTTCTTGATTTCCCAATTCTTTGAAAAGTTAAGACTGTTTTAAAAATTAAAAATGCCACTCTGTTTATCTCAGACTATGCCTCACAGTCTAGTCCCAGAGTAGGAATGAGGAGGCTCCACTCTGACATTCCCCCTCTGACTCTCAATCCCAAACAGTCCAGTAGTGTTGAGTCATAGCAGGCCGCAGGATGCGCTTGTTTAATTAGTCAAGATTCCACTTAAACGGAAAGTCACATTAGATGCTATTATCTAGAATTTTCTTACATACTCCTCCCCAAAATAATGTGGGGACTAGAGGTGCAGCTTAGTGGTACAACATTTGCCTAGCAAGCATGAGGTCCTGGGTTTGATCCCAGCATTACAGAAAGAAAAGAAATTGGGTCAGTCAGTTTCCAGATTAATCATTCAATACTTAAGTACTTACTGAATGCCTGACCTTGTGTTAAGCACTGAGCATGCTGTGGTGAACAGGCAAGGTGTGTCTGGGCAGTTCGGCATCCTTTGTCCACCCTTCTGACCCAGCAACTGAGTCACCTTCCTTAGGTGCCAGGAAGTGGCTGGCTTCTGCCCTCTTGGTGCTCTGTCTCTGTGGAGTGCTGTGGCACGTAATTTGAGGAGCTGAGTGAAGAAGCCCAATGCGATTAGTGGGGCTTCCTGAAGTGAGTTGTGTCTTTCTGTGTAAAACACTCCCCCATCCCAGGTTAATTATAGCACTTAAATTATCTGTGCAAAACCAGAAGGTCCTGTAGAAGAACAAATGACCTGTTGAGGAGATGGAGTTCTGGGTGAATCACTTCCCATGTTGCTTTGTTATTTGTATAACAAATTTTTCCTTAAGCGATGTCTAAGGTAAATCATGACAAAGGTTTGTAGAAATATGTGTACACACTGCTACAATGGAAGGTGCCTGCCTACTATGAATCTTTAGTCCAGATAAGATAGATACCTTTTAATGTATTATTATTATCATTATTATTATTTAGACTCTTGTAGGTTCTCCTAACTTTGAATTCACTACGTAGCCAAGGATGACCTAGAACTTTGCATCCTCCCCCTACACCTCCCAAATGTCATGAGCACAGGGAAGGCTTTACAATGCCCAGCTGAGAAAGACCTTTGGTTACAAGGACAGGTCCAGGTTTTCCACCAGCTGACACCGTACACAGTTTGGAGTTGCCTCCTTAGGGAACAACACTGAATGTGAAGCCTCAGATAGGAAGGAGCTCATACAAATGAGGAACTCTAATTTGGCTGCGTTAGCTTGAAGACACAGGCTATTGGGGACAGCCAGGGAATGTAAGAATCTAATGAAGCAGTAATGGGCACCACACCTGAGTTCTCTGTGACCCGGAGAGCTAATTCTTTTTCTGAGACAGAGTTTCTCTGTGCAGCCCTGGCTGTCCTGGAACTCACTCCCTAGATCAGAAATCTGCAGCCTCTGCCTCCCAAGTGCTGGGATTAAAGGCGTGCACCACCAACACCTGGCCAAGAACTTCTACCAAACCCGAGCTTTTATTTCTGGAGGGACCAGATTAGGTGCCAATCTAGTGACAGTTAATTTGGGATTCAAGTAGACCATTTTTCTTTTTCAGGTTGGAGAGTTTGTGCCTGGGGATGAACCTTACAAGCTGTTACTTTTTTTTTTTTTTTTTTACTATTTGTGCAGAGTTGGGCTGTGTGGCCCTATCTGGCCTCACTTATAGCAATGCTCCTGCCTCTGGCTCCAGAGTGCTAGCATTCCAGGTGTGTGCCACCACACCTGCCCCCCCCCTTTTTTTCTTTTTAGTCTTTACGGACTACTAATTTGCAAACAGTGATTCCTCTTAATCTGAGGAATGAGGAATTTACAGGGCTCTTGGTTCAGGAAGCCAGCTTCCCAGGTAACATTTAAGTAAGGTACCACTTATTTATTTACACTCTGCCTCCTTCAGTAAAGAATGTTTCTATTAAAGCTAAGATCAGCTTTAAAGGGTTAACAATTTTAGAAAACAAATTGGAAATTCGTGTCATTCTTTGAAGAGAGGGAACTAAAACTTGATTCAAATAAATAATCTTAATTATTCATCAGTGCCATACACGCACAGAGCCCAGGCCAGAACGGGAGACATGTACTGACGTCTGGATTTGGAAACTAAAGACAGCGTTGTCTTCCCGGTGCCTCTAGAACCCTGCTTAGTCTGAGGCTGACTGTTCCTCTCCCCATGAAATCCTTCCCACCACAGTGGAAAAGTGGGCATGGGCTTTGAAACAGAGAACTACAAATTAACAGAGGAGAAAACAGCTCACGAACCAACAAGTGGCCACACCGTGACCCAGATAAACCTCGGACACGTGCTCAGCACAGCCAGGTAATGCAACACACCGACCATCGTGTGCGTCTCTTCAGACCACCTGTCGAGAAACACAGGTTGATATAACCAGACCGTGTAAAGCAGGCACGGGGCAAGGTTTCCCCGTACATAGCCACGGGAGACGAGGAATGTTGTCAGCGTGGGCTGTGATGTTGATTACACACTGTACTTGTAACCAAAGCCTAATGAACTAGCTGGGATGTGGACATGCAGAAGCCCATCTCTTTACACTTCAATGGAGAAAATGAGAAACGTAAATTCCCAACAGGAATACTACTGTATAGCTGTTTAAAATAACTTCACAGGTGTGTGGCACATGCCAGAAAAGATATTTGTAAAAATCGCCAAAACTAAATGTGTGAAATTAAAAACCTTTGTTTAGACATATGCATGGGAAAAGGGCTTGATGCTTAACAAATATGAACTCTGGTTACCTCTGGGTGGACCTGTTTATTGTCTTTTGTTTACCCATATTGTCTAAAATGTTGAAATGCATTATGTTACATGAAGTAAAAGTAATAAATGCTTTTTCTTTTTAAAAAAAATCATGGGCTTGTTATCACTTTAAACAATAGATACCTTTTCTGATATTAATAGCAAAATTTCTGCCAGGCGTAGTAATACATGCCTTTGATTCTAGGATCTCTGAGTTTGAGGCCAGCCTGGTCTCCATATCAAATCTCAGGCCAGCCAAGGCTCCATAGTGAGACCTTGTCCCCAAAACAAATTCTGGGCCAGTGAAATGGCTCAGCGCACACAGGTACTTGCCACTAACTAAGCCTGATAGCTTTGGTTCGATCCCTAGGACCCACGTGGTGGAAGGAAAGAACTGACTCTTGAGAGTGGTCCTCTGACCTCCACTTGCATGCTGTGGCACCTGTGTGCCCACCACCAACACACACATATTGAGTTTTTTCAAAAGAATTAAAATTCCATAATTGTGCTTTTAGTTTTTAATAGCTTTTGTTTTGAGGGGGTTGATTTGGTTTTGATTTTGAAGCAGGGGTCTCACTATATAACCAGGATGCCCATGAAATCAGTGTTTATTGATTGATAAAAAAAATAATGACAATAAATTGGGCATGGTCACTCATACCTATAATCCTACCATTTGGAAGACTGGGGCAGGAGAATTGCTATGAGATGAAGGATAGCCTAGGCTATAGAAGGAGCCCGACTCAAAACAGTTCTAAGAGGGACAGTCTAATGCTGTCACCTTGAATATATACTAAACATTTAACACACATTTCTGGCTTCTTCATCCCATAAGAAGATGTGAGTGAGGGCACAGGGGACACAGGGGGACTTTGGACTGGTTCCTTGGGAACTGCTTCCCAGAGGAAGGTCCATTTGAAATAGAGTTTAGAGAAACTGAGAAAGAGAGAGAAGATCTGAGTGCACTGTATAGAAAAATGGAGATGACTCCTTATTGCATCCAATCCTCAAACTCACCAGTTACCCTGTCTGCCCGAATTTTCCTTTCAGCTCTGTCAGTCTGCCTCAGTCTCGCAAATAGTGGGATTATAGGTATGAATGACCATGACCAATTTGTCACTGTCTTTTATCGATCAAAAAGCCAAAAACACCCCACTAACAATGGATGTCCTTGTTTGGATGCTAAATTGGCACTCTAG